CCCCAAAACCCCAAAACCCCAAAACCCCAAAACCCCAAAACCTCAAATTTGGAAGTTGATTAATAATAATTATTATAAATCATTCTGAAAAGAAATCACCAAACCAATTGATCGGATTATATAGATCCAAGAAGGACTTATACACAAGGATGGCAGTAGACCGTAAGCCTTAGATAAACTATTTATATTACATAGGCCAATATTTTATGCCAAGCTACTAAATGTGCCCTGTCTCATATATCAGAGATGTATTTTCTAGAGATAAGAAGATAAGTCTGGCCTTGATAAACTCATCAATAGGCTATAAAAGTGAATGAGGTAATGTTAATTCATGTTCCATTTTATCCAGAGCTCTCAATTAAGAGAGTCTATCCTGAATTAAAGGAAAATCCTATTCTGAAGACATATTTCCAAGAATACCCAGAAAATATTTATCCTGAAAGAAAATTCTTCTATGGAGTAGTTGGGAGTCTTTTTCCAGATAAATTGAAAGCAATTATTAAAAAGGCAAGAGAACACAGAAGCATAATTGAAGCCTCTGATGAAAATGAACTTATTCATTTTTCACCAGAATTTTCAGATGAAATAATGAAGTTACTGAGCCATCCTAGTAAGCCTATTAAATAAATGAAAAATATAGCAACCCCAGGAAGAGCAGTATTTTTATTGAAACAAAAGGCAAAAACTACTAGAAAGAAGAGAACTGCTAAAGAATTTATGGCTGATTTCAAACCAATTAGTTCAATAAGGATGGCGACTCGGAGACTCCCCGTCCCGAAAGAGTTCAGCATAGACAAATTAAAAGCGAAAGCTGTCATAGAAATGTAGGACGATGGTTTAAGATACAGTGATGAGGAAGAGAGATAATACTAATTGCGTTGCAAACTTCACTAAAATCATTCTTTGGTAAAAAAATGCTGGTAGTTTTCGTCAAAACCAGGTTTACCTAAATGAGAATCTGACATTCCAAACTAAAGGCAGCTATTATAGTTGACAGATTCATTTTAGGATATTTTTAGTCTTTTCGCTGCATCATATTGATATCTTTTGATTCTTAGTGGTAAACCTGAAATTCCTGGAAATTATGATCTGCTCAGGTTGGATGGGGAGCAATTGAGAGAAGAAACATTTTTGTTTCTTTAAGAGATAAATAGGACAGAATAATGAAAGCGAAGGCTAATTCAGAGAAGAGTAGGGGAGACCCTAACCAAGACAAAATGAGGATAAAATTGGAAATAATTATATAACATTCCTAAAAACTGACAGAGGAAACTTCTCTAATATAATTCTGAGTGATAAAAATTCTCCCATTTGGATAGCACATGCCCTCTAAGAAGGATACATCTTGCTAAAGACCATGGTATGATTGGAAAATGGGGTAATCTCTATTAATTTCAAATATTGATCATCTATCTGGGGTTTTGGGGTTTTGGGGTTTTGGGG